ATAAAGGTAGAAAACATAGTTTAGTGTTGTAAGGGAGCAAATGTAGATGATCAGGTGTGTGCCTGTAGACTATGTGTTAATCCAAGCTAGACAAGGGCAACAAAACATCCACGGATGCAGAAGATTTCTCTCAAAACAGGGGGGGTGAGGTTCTAAGCCTCACCTCTGTTGGTCCCCAATTTCTCACCTGATGGCCCCCCTGCGACTGTGCCTGTCTTAGGTTGTTCCTCCCTTGAGGAATCTTACCTGTCTCTGGCTAACCAGTCATCTTCCGGGGCCATACAGGGAAATGTAAAGTTGGTAAGGACTTTACCTTTTTAAATGGGCAACCTGTTGATGCTTTGCATCTGAGAGCCAGAGGGAGGTGACAGGGATCAGCGGTCTCCCTGATGACAGGGACTCATCGCCATGCTGCTCTCTGGTCTGTTGGGTGCCGTAGCTTCAAGAGCCTTCTGTGGCCACTAAGAGCATGGCTTGTACCATTTTGTGAATTCTAAAGGCGAATTCTAAGTCTTTATATACTAAGTTTTTGTAACTGCCTGTGACATTTTTTGTGTGGGACCTCAGATATTTCTCCATTGTCTATATAGTGTATATGAGGTGGCCTTGCAGACACTCTACCTTCACACCCAGTTTGAGTGACAACTAAAAAATTAAACACACCTTGTGTGTGACTTAAATTGAAATCGTTCTGTTGCTGAGGCGATAGGGTTTAAGCTAGTTAGATGCTGTTAACTGCCAGGTTTATAATTTTATTTCTTTGTTTTCTTAAGGTACTTATAAAATTCTTGATAGTGAAACAAGCCATCTTTTGGTGAGGGGTGAATTTCTTGGCAAATTTGGAAATTAGGGATTTGCAACATCGCATTCAAATTTTTGGTAATTGTAAAATTTACCTCCTGAACCATTTCTGAGTGTACAGTTCAGTTGTGTGAAGTGTGTTCATGCGGTTCTGCCATCACCACCACCAGCTGTCTCTAGAACTCTTCATCTACTACATCATCACATTTAAAAAAATTAACTGCTTGTTTATTTTAGAAATAATATATATTTAGTATAGAAATCTTAGGTAGTTCAAAAAATTACAGAGAAGTCATTTTTAACCCCCCCTCCCCCCAGTTGATATTATGGGATTCCAGTGTCCGCATTTCCTTTGGCAGGCAGCCTTCCATGCTTACAACAGACCGTAAGTATTGAGAAGGTTCTGTGTCTCACTGAATCCTGTCCTAAAGGCCTCTTCTAGCTCCGTGCTCAAAAAAAATCTCTAGATGCTTGGGGGCAGAGGGAAAGGGCCAAGTGAAAACAAAAAATTGATCATTGCCTCAATGCCAGTTACCAATCTAAGCGTTTAATGAACTCACACGGCCCCCACTACATCACTGTCAGCTAGATACTGCCGTCCTTGAGGACTCCGAGGCTCAGTGAGGGCGGAGCTCCACACTTGTCTCCTGGTCTGGCTTCCAAACACTGGGCTCTTGACCACTGTGCTGTATTATCTCCTTTTCATGCTGGTAGACAAAATCCTTTTTGGATCCTGTATTTTCTGTGTTCATTACTCATATAATAATGAGAATCCTCTCTTTACATGTGACTATGTGCAATTTCATTTTTCCTTTTTACTTGTCTGCATTTGCTACGTGTTCTACAGTAGATATGTATGACTTATGTAATGAGAAAACCAAGTGTAGAAGATGGAATTAAAATGTGGAGAAAGAAAAAAAATGTGGAGAAAGAAAAGAAGGGGTCCCAGAGGTCCCCGACAGATGGCTCAATCCAACTGTGATGCACCCCCTTCCCTCCCACCATCCTCCAGGTATTCCCGGCGTTTCCACAAGACTCTGAGGCGCTTGGTGCCTGACTCTGATGTGCGTTTCCTCCTCTCGGAGAGTGGCAGTGGCAAGGGGGCCGCCATGGTGACCGCGGTGGCCTACCGCCTGGCCGAGCAGCACCGGCAGATAGAGGAGACCCTGGCCCACTTCCGCCTCACCAAGGAGATGCTGCTGGAGGTGAAGAGGAGGATGCGGGCCGAGATGGATTTGGGGCTGAAGAAGCAGACACACGAAAAGGCAGCAGTCAAGATGTTGCCCTCCTTCGTCCGAAGCACTCCAGATGGGACCGGTGAGGGCCTGTGTGTGGGCTGACATGCCCCTCTGCTTTCCGGGCCAGTGACCCACTGAGGGTGGGGCAGGGAGGTTGGCTTCTCCAGTGGGTGCATTTGCTCTGGGGTTGCATGATTTTGGCAAGAGCTAGACTCAAACTCTGCTTTCCATTTTTACCATTTTACTGCTGACCTGTCACATGTGTGACTTACAGGCAAGCACCAGCTCTACCACCGCAGCCCTGCTCAGTGGTAGAAAAACTTCTTGAAAGAACAAAGCTGGGCAAATCCTGCAGCACTGAAGTTGCTGTAGGTTCTCTCACAAGCAATAAACCAGCAGAAGGATAAATAACCAACACACCCTTCTTGAGCCCTGACAGTGTGCACTTGAGGCAGACGGGCCTGGGGATTTTCACACCCAGGCAGATTGGAGAACAGAATCCAACTCTTTATGTTGACCTTGCTGGTCCTCATTGGAGTTGTGCTCTATTGGTATTCTGAAGGGTTTCTTGGATGCATCCTTGGAGTAATAAATGTCTGTGATATGAATGTGTTCTATGTGTAAGTTAACTTACTATTGCATTGTATTATTTATTGCATTGCAACCCACCCTAAACCTAGTGGCTTAAAACAGCAATCAGTTATTATTGATTACGTGTCTGAGGGTCAGCAGTTTGTTTATTATTCATATGGACCAGGCTTGACTCATGTTTGCTCTACTCATTCATGCAGTCACTAGTGGCCAGCTGGGAAACCTTCCTCACATGTCCAGCAGTTGGCTGGCTGTTAGCAGGGGTGCAGGAGTATCTGACCATGTGTCTCATCCTCCAGTGGGCCACGGGGCTTGTTCATATGCTAGCAGTAAGGTCCAGGAGGGAGAGGGAAGACTTCAAAGTTGGGACTGGCCTAGCTTTGCTTCTGCAATGCTCTGTTGGCCAAAGCAAGCAATGGGCTGGGGCAGATCCAAGGGGTTGAGAAATAGATTTCATCTTTTAATGGGAAGAGCTGTAAAGTTACTTTGCAAAGAGGCATGAGTATAGTGAGGAGAGTGATTGTGGCCATTTTTGCAAACATTCTACCTACTAACATAAATGCCAGTTTTTGTATGTAGTTCGCTAAAGTCAGGTCAGTGTTGCCAAGTGTTTCAGTAACCCTGGTGAAGTTTATTATTATTATTTTTTATTGTGACAAGTGGCTCAGCCATGGGCCTTTTGTCCTTCTTGTGTGGCTCAAGGATTGTGGTGGTCAGTGAGTGAGTGCCAGCCCCTCTCCGACCCTGAGCTGTGTGCTGGAGGGCGGACTTAGACTTTCTTCCCTGTCCTTAATACAGGGGTTCCCCTGGAAAGCATGAAGTCTTGGGGTTACTGGCTGCCAGGAGACACTCATTTTTTATGTTCTTTATGTTCTTGACTATGACAGAGCACGGTGACTTCTTGGCCCTGGATCTTGGAGGAACGAACTTCCGTGTCCTACTGGTGAAAATCCGTAGTGGGAAAAAGAGGATGGTGGAAATGCACAACAAGATCTATGCCATTCCCACTGAAATCATGCAGGGCACTGGGGAAGAGGTGAGAAACATTTTGCCTTTCCACCACTGTGGCACATGTGTGTCACACACATGGGCAGTAGCATTGGTGGTCCCCCTAACCTGCTATGGGGTACCTACAGTTGTGTGCTTGTGTCCTGTGTCTGAAAGCATGGGGTACTTTCAGTGATGCTGGGCTTAATGATGGTTAGGAGGCTCTAAAAGATCCTCAAGGAGGGTGCTTGCTCTGCATGTGTCATTGTGTGTACGTGTGTGTGCATTTATGCACTTGTATGTGTGCAGCAAAAGTAGGAAACCACAGCACAGTAACCCCTTCTTTTCTCCTAAAGCTGTTTGACCACATCGTCTCCTGCATCTCTGACTTCCTGGACTACATGGGGATCAAAGGCCCCAGAATGCCTCTGGGCTTCACCTTCTCATTCCCCTGCAAGCAGACGAGCTTGGATGCGGTAAGTCTCTGTCCTGAGGCATTGGGCCTCAGGCGGTGCTGACTGGCCTGTGGCATGTGCTGGCTCGAGGCTTCCTCCAGTTTCAGCGTCCTCCCTGGATGTTGGGTGACTCACATGTCACAGTGGGTTGACCCAAGTTTTATATCACACTCTCCAGTTCATCTTAAGCCTCTTCTCTCTTCTTTTGTTGTTTAAAGTGTTCATCTCTTCTGGGATGCTTTCTGGCTCCTACAGGCAAAAGGAAGCTCTCCCTCCTAGGTATTCCCTGTGCCTTTGACTGTTGCTGTGATGCTAGCATTTCTTACAGAGGAATGATTGTGTCTCTCTTTCTGCTGTACTCTCTGCTCCTTGAGGCAGGACCTGTGTTCCCCACTTGCCCCAGTACAGTGTTCTGTCAGGGGAGATACTTAAAAAGTGTGTTCATTGTTCACTATGTAAGAACTTGTTCGTTATGCTTCAGAAGATTGGAGACTGTTTAGAATTAGGCTTGGGGTTGATTAATGATTGTGCATTGAGTCCCCTATACAGAATTTTATTGTCGTTAACAACCATTTGATCAATAAATATGAGAGATGCCCTCTCAAAAAAAAAAAGTGTGTTCAATAGATGGGATGAAACAGGGTCGAAGATTAGGGCTTGGCACCTGCTAAGTACTAAGTGCTGGGTACAGACTGAAGGTTACAGTTCCTGTCCTCGGGGCCACAGGGGCCATAGTCTCACGGAGGGCCTCAGCTTCACCCTGGCAGCTCCAGCACTGTGCCTAAGGGCTGTCGGTGCATGTCGGGGGATCCCAGCCCAGAGGACCCAATGGTGCAGAGTCACAGAGGCAAGACCCGGCCTGTCGTACTGGAAGGGCCTCAGGTGCCTCTGTGAGTCATAGGTGGGGGTGTGGCCAGGGAGGAGGCCCAGTTGGCGACATCCCATCGCAGGGGCCTTGGGCCAGTTTTGAGGCATGGGATGAGCAGCACTAGGGAGCAAGGAAGAGCCACCTGCCTGTGCAGCCACTCAGCCCAGTCACTGTGCTGGCCCGGGGCTTTGCTCCTCTTAGGCCCCTTTAGATCTCAGCAGGGAGGTCATATAAACTTGCTTTTTGCAGTTTTTGAAGACCTGGTGATTTTTTAAAGCAGTTCACTTATACCATCACCTGGTGCTCATGGTGGTGCGCGTACCCCCAGCCGGTGCAGAACTTCATCCAGTCAGACCTAGAATGTGCTTTAGGTAGTAAGAGTGCTGCTAAAAATTTGCATTTCTCCAACAACTTATGTTGTTGGCAAGCTATTCTTTAGGGGAACTGGTTGGTTGTACCAGGGGTAGCACCATTAACCTTCTGTGCCTTACATTCTCCATCTGTGAAATGGGGATTATAAGCTAGGCTGCAGTGGGCACAGTGAGGAGGGGCGGGTTCTTAGGAAGGCCTATTCATGTCTTACCAGATTGTGCCTCAGATGTTCCAGCGCCATCTCACTATGAATTCTCAGCAGATGTTTACTCAGAAGGGAGGGAGGGAAATTTTGTATTCTGCCCAGAAGGTTAGTAACACAGGACTCTCCTGGTGCCGTTCCTGTTTCAGGGCATCTTGATCACCTGGACGAAGGGTTTTAAGGCAACCGACTGTGTGGGCCATGATGTAGTGACTTTACTAAGGGATGCTGTAAAAAGAAGAGAGGTAACTATTAAAAGGATGTTTTAAAAAAATCCTTACTGTTTTTTCAGGTTATAAAAATTGTACTTGCTTGTCATAAAAAATTCAAATAATAAACGTGTGACCTGGATAAAAGAAGTTTCCCCAACTATCAGCCATAAAACAGATGAAGGAGAGTTTAAGAAAGGTAAAATCATGACTGTCCTACAGATTGCAGAAGAGAAAAACATGTCCCCACCATGGGCACAGCCTGGCAGTATTGTCAGTGTTCCCAGTTGCACACACACAGTGTTGCAGAGCAAACATCACAGTCCCTCTGAGTATGATGGAATTAGATGAGAATAAGGGGACTCCATAATCCCATCGGAGCTCAGCACACACTCCGAGAATTGCCCTGCTTCATGACAGCATCCAGTCCAGAGCAAAGCCGTGTTTCTTTGAACCCTCCAAAGTCACCAACACAGGTTGAAAACCTACAAGTGCTTCTAACACTTTCTGGGATGCCCCCCAGAATGTGTTTGCCTGTGTTGGAACCAGTCAGTAAGCCCAGTTTTGTTTGACTATAGGTGTGTTTCTGCTGGTGTTTGGCTGGAGGACGTTGATAAAATATAAAATGAAAAATTCCAAAGAATTTATATAACTCATTCATGAGAGAATCAGTAAGAGGGGAAAAAAAGATGAGTTCAGGTGTCTCCATTCAAAAGATCAGACAAATACAAAAGCAATCTGGAAGGCTGAAAGGAATGGGTTTAAAAGAGGGAGGAATTGCACCCGGAGGAATATGTTAGACAGCAGCTAATGTTTCATTGCAAAGAAGCCTGGTGATCTGTTTACCCATTTCACAACTCTTAATGCTCATGTTCTTCCAGCTTACTTTCCATGCATATAACATATACACACATATAAACATTTATTTTTACATGGTAAGCTACACATACTGTATTACAACTAGCTTTTTCCATTTACTATGAAACAGTCATCTTTCGTGCCACTACATATAGACCAACCTCACTATTTTTCTTGTCTGTACAGGATTCCAGTGTTTGCCTGAGTCATGGTTTACATAGCCCCTTTTGATCTATATTTGGGTTATTTCTCTCTCTGGCTCATGCAAGTCATGCAGTAAATATCCTTGTATGTACCTTGGGGTACCTGCATGGCTGTTTCTACAGGACAGGTTCTGAGAAATGGATTTTGTATTTCCATTTTGCTCTGTGAAAGGCTATAACATTTCAAACTCCCAAGACAAAGAGCTATTTGGCCACTGCCCTATGTCTTTTCTCCATTCAGCAGTTCCCTCTGCATTGCCTATGCAGGACCATCTGTGAAATGGGAAGAATACTTCCTTTCTTTAGAGCTCAGATTTCAGGTGCATCATTAATAGTAGGTGTGTAGTCAGTGAAGGGGCATTAAATTACCTTTTATAGAGGCTGGTAAGAAAGCTGTTTGAGGTGGTGTGTTAGTGCCTTTCTGAGTGTGTGCCGCAGAGTGAACTGGCTGACTCCAAGCCAGGAAGCACTGTCCCTCCCCTAAAGCTGTGTCCTCTCTTCCCGAAGGAATTCGACCTGGATGTGGTGGCTGTGGTCAACGACACGGTGGGCACCATGATGACCTGTGCTTATGAGGAGCCCACCTGTGAGGTTGGCCTCATCGTAGGTGGGTGTCCTGGAGGTCTCTCTCTTTGGGGTGGGAGGGCTGGGTTTCCCTGCTCTGTGGGGCCTTGAGCCAGTCTCTGGAGGGCAGGATATCTCTCAGTTCCATCCCCTTACTGCCTCCAGAGTTCCATCCTGGACCATGGCTGCAGGGCTCGCCAGGGGCCTTCCTCCTCCCAAACACCCAACCTGATGCCTGTGACCAGACTGTCAAGATCAGGCTCTGCAGGAATGAGCCCAAATGGCTCACATGGCTTGGAGTCACGGTGGGAATAGCTGGGGCTGGCCTGGCTAGCAGGGCAACTGTTAGGCTTGTGCAGAGGGGCTTCGGGCGGGCATTAGGGTCCTGCAACTGGGAAAGAAGCAGAGCCCTCCCTCCTCTCCTGACCATGGGAAAGGTCCAGAGAGTAGTCTGGGCACCATTTTGCCCTTATTAGCCACTGTTTGTGAGCGGCCCCAGGCTACTGAAGTAGATTACAAGGAGGTCGCTCTGTAGATTGTTTCCTTGTAGTGCAAATACGGTAGGGATCTGTAATTCCTGAAGCATACTGACCTCAGCTGTGGGACAACCATTGATCCACTTGAACCTGCTCCTAGTGTTGGGAGGCTAGGAAAAGGCCCATTTGTTAGTCAACATCTGCATATGTAGGAGCAGTGGCACCACTGCTGTGCGGGGTATTTGCCAAGTACCTGGGAGATTGGTATAAGGCCCCAGCAGGCTCCCTCCTGGTGCCAGAAAGGCCTTTTCATATGCTGTCATATACTTCTGGCTCCTGTGGTCATTCAAAAACTGGGGACTAGCTCCAGGTGAAAGGTTGTCTGGGGCCTGGTTCTGGGGCTTTTGCTTCTTACTGTCTTTTCCAAAGCTTGCTTTCTTCACCCAGCCCCACCTTGCCTTCTGTGTATGAATGGATGGAAGTAAGAACTGTACAGCTGGAGAGACAGCACATTCTCCACTTCCGGGCCAGGCCTAGCCTGGGAGGGAGGTTAGGGCCGCCCAATTCAGGGCCCCCCCTTAGCTGTGCCTGGCCCTGGGCACAGAGCTGGGACAGGTTCTCCATGGCTCCAGCTGCATTCAGAGCCATGTTTTCCTTTCCTCATCAATTGATCTCTTTGCTCAAAACACCCAAGGGCAAGAAGTAGGGCTTACAAGTTTTAGCATTCTTTGTATCCCCTCCTATTTCTGGGGCTCCTCTTCTCAGTTTTACACTTTGGCTGAAAGGAGCTAAGAAAACAAAACAAAACAAAACAAACAAAGAAACAACTGAGTTACACAGTTAGAAGCCTCTGCAAATTCTGTGTAAGTTTCTTAAAGACCAAAGCCCTTTGCTCTGGTCAGTGCGAATGGCCTTGTACTCGCTGGTGGTGTTGGAAGCCTGTCTCCATCACCGTCCACTCTGGAAGGGCCTGGCCATTCAAAGTGAGGACCTCAGGCCAGCAGCATTGGTATCACCTGGGAGCAGAGTCCCCAGCCCCACCGCAGCCCTCCTGAATCAGAACCTGCATCTCACAAGGCCCCCCAAGTGATTCTGGCATTGATTAAAATATTTGTTTAAGTAGCCCCGTGCTGGGGAGTTGAGGGGTGGAAATCAGGATTTTGAGCCCCTGGGAACCCTCAGGTTGGGTGGGTACACTCAGGGAAAATATTCCTTTTCTCAGGAGAATCATGATATTTTCAAAGAGGTCTGTGATACCACAACAGTGAGAAACCATTGCTTTAGAAAGGCACTCTTGAAATGCTCAGGACACTGGCCTTCCTTGAACTACCTGTAGGCTTCATTCTGGGACACAGAATAAAGTTTTTTGAGCAGACATAGTCCATGACCATCTTTGATAAAATAAATGGACATCCATGGTATAATAGTAGACAACTCCCCAGTATATGTGTGTGTGTGTGTGTATACAGCTATGTATATATGTGTCTGCATGTATGTATATATAGAGAGAAATATCTTTCCAGTCTGAATATTGCCTAAACTAATGCCATTGAGGATACATCCATTCATTGTAAGAGTGTCTTCTATTAAAATAAATAGAGCCCTGCCTGGACAGGTAAACACATAGGCTCTCCATATTGATGTCTTCATATGAAGTAAGTTAATTAAGTGCAATCTGAGTGGTTTAAAAATCTGACTTGCCTTTTATATTTACAGATTCTCCTGGAAAATGTTAGGAAAGCAAAGCTATTATTTTCTTCATCTCAAAAACATACCCCATGTCTGGAATCTCAGGCCCTCGGCCTGGTTCCAGGATCCCTCCTCCCCCAGCACGACAGCACAGCCACTCAGTCCTCCCCTTGTGTGTTTCAGGGACCGGCAGCAATGCCTGCTACATGGAAGAGATGAGGAACGTCGAGATGGTGGAGGGAAATGAGGGACGAATGTGCATCAACATGGAGTGGGGGGCCTTCGGGGACAATGGGTGCCTAGATGATATCAGAACAAACTATGACAGACTGGTGGATGAGTATTCCCTGAACCCTGGGAAACAAAGGTAATTCTTGTGGAGGAGACACATAAGGAGTCAGGATAGGCAGGGCGTGTGCCTGCATCCTGCCTGTTACAGTGGAAGAAGTTTCTAGCAGGGATGGGGTTTGGACAGAGGCTTGGGAGACTGGTCCCTCAGGTTCTCTCCTGACCTGGGGTTTGGGCCCAAGGAGAGCAGAATAAGGGGAGGAGTGGGGGATGGGCATCCTACATGCTACGGGGGGTGCCCAGGTCCATCAACCCGTCCAGGTGCTCCCTCTGCATAGAGGACAGAGTGGAGTGGCAACACCACTTCCCTCAGGGACCATGTTCATCCTGGAACAGTCTCACCTCCCCCATGCTCTCTTCTCCATCATACTAATAGAAGCCCCTTGGTCAGCAGGTTTTTTTTTTTAGTGGAAATAGAACACACTTGACCTGCAGTTGTCAAAGGACAAGGGAAATTAGGACATGGCCAGTGTAGGTGGGAATAGGGGTTGGGTGGGGGTCTGGTCAGGTGTGAGGCGAGGCCCAGGTCCATTCATCCTTCCCACAGCTGGCCTCTGGAACCACCCAGTGGCTGTTTGGAGCTTTGCAGCTCCGGTCTCAGGGACTCTGCCTGACATGGGTCAGGCCATCCGCTGCCATAGCCAGCGTGGGTTGGTCCCAGCTTTTCCCCAGGAGCAGAGAGAAGGGCTGGGGTAGAACAGAGTTGTTCTCCAGCCACCCTCAATACTTTTGCCTTTTCCAGATACAGTCTATGCTTACTTAATGGTTTTAAATCAGCTTATATTCCTTAGTTAAATTTAATGAGGGAGAAAAAAAGGGAAAACCAGTATTAGCATAAATAACTGGTAACCATAAAATGAATATGGCAGAGAGCAGCATTCAATTCTAGCTACTGTTGCCTACCAAGGTTGTAGAGCAAAACCCCCAGTGATGATAAGGGAAGGGTTAAAGCCATATTAGCACCAAACTGAGATGGTCTCCTTGATGGAATAAAGACTGGGTAGGAATTGGCAATAACCGCACTATTCCGTGTTTTTACTGAGGACCACCTGAAATCTGGAGTTTCCAAATTCCAGTGGGCACTCCCCAGCTTGAGGACACTGGGATTGGATGTGTGCTGTGGAAGCGCTGATGTCGTTTGTCATTTCACGAGGCCCTTGAGCATGGACAGGGCAGGAGTTAGAAGCCCCAAGAACAGGTTGCCCTCAGGAGTACAGATGCCACCTGAATTCTGCAGTCTGTGTGGCTTTCTCACTCTACTGGGTGCTTGCCAGTACTCTGGGCTTCTGCAAACCCTTCCAAAAACCTCGTAGGAACTTTCTTCTTGTTTCTTCTTATGCTTTGAAGACTCAGCTCAGTCGGTTGCTTATTCTGCGAATACTTACTGAGCAATGACTATGAGCCAGGCAGTGTGTGGTGCTAGGCCCTGGGACCCAAAGCTGAACAAAACACAGGTTCACTGTCCTCTCAAGGCTTTTGCTGCAGGGATGACGAGAGGCAGTGGACCCAGGTGCAGGAGAGGGGAGGGTGTGTGAGAGCCTGAGATGGGCATAAATAGCCTGGTCTGGGGGAGGAGGACAGGCCTCTCAGAGAAGAAATGTTTGAGCTGAGACGTAGTGTGGGATTTCACCAGACAATGGAGGAAGGCGGTGAGGAGGGAGACGGTGTAGCACTTAGACATTAGTGCTGCTGGTTTTATTTCTCGTCCAAGGGAGGGTTGAGAATCCTCCAGTCCTTCCTGGTTTACTTTCTGCCTCTGCTGGGAGCACAGGACTGGGCATGTAGATTGGGAATGGCTTCAGGGTAAGAAGCCCAGGGTTACTGGGAGCCTGAAGGTGTCAGTTAGATGCTCTAGCCTGTTCCTCCTGTTTTAGGTTTGAGAAGATGATCAGTGGTATGTACCTGGGTGAAATTGTCCGCAACATCTTGATCGACTTCACCAAAAAGGGATTCCTCTTCCGTGGGCAGATCTCTGAGACACTGAAGACTCGGGGCATCTTTCAGACCAAGTATCTCTCTCAGATCGAGAGGTAAGCGGGGAGGGGTCTGTTGGAGGTGGACCTGGAGTAGTAGGCCCTGAGCAGTTGAATAGTGAAGTTGCATAATTTTGTTATAAATCATTTTCTTTTTACTCATCCTTTATGTTGGGGCATTATATTGATTTGCTTGAAATTATGTGTGTAAGTAGGAGAAAAGGTGCATTAGGACATTTATATTAAAGGGGCACTGAGTCCATTGGAGCCAAGAACCACTGGCCTTGCCCACCCTCATTTCATCTGAGAGGCAGCCTGCGATTGTGTAGCTCGGTCACCCCATGTGTGTGCCTCACAGCAGAGTGCTTCTGTCTTCCTCCTGTTTCTCTCATGTGGAGTGAACACTGTCTCTGCCTTGGCCTTTTCCATGGTAAGCTGTGAGAGAGGGTAGAACATGCTCTGCAAAAGCAAGAGCAGTTGTGCAAAAGCCACCTTATTTTTAGAATGGTCATAATAGCAAAGGTAACAGCGGCTCTGCTGGCGCCTACTCATTGCTCTCCCCTATGCCTGATTCTGTGACCTGCACGGGAAACTCACTGCCCACCAGAACTGAAGGAGTGGAGTAGATGGCATCCAGAAGGCCCCAAAACAGTGGCCCTGGAAGACCTGAGCACATGGAGTGGTAGCATTTCACAGCCACGGAGGAGAGGGGTGCTGTCTGCAAATGGTGCTGGGTGCTCACTAGTGACTAGGAAACAAGTTCCAGTCTTCTTTCTTATTCTAAATTCATCCAAGAGCTAAATGGGGGGAAAAAAAGGAGCCATAAAACAATGAGAAGAAAGTATCTGAGTATTTTTCATAACATTTTTGATTGTGGTAAAATACATGTAACATTTACCATTGCAGCCATTTTGAAGCATATAGTTCAGTGACACTAAGTTCTTTCACATCGTTATACAGTCATCATGATCATCCATCTCCAAAATTTCTTCATCTTCCTAAACTGAAGCACCGTATTCGTTAAACACCAATGCCCCATTTGTCCCTCCCCGAGCCCCAGCAACTACCCACCTACTTTCTGTCCCTATGAACGTGACTACTCTAGGTACCTCATGTAAGTGGAATCATACAGTATTTGTCCTTTCCGTCTCTGGCTTATTTCACTTAGCATAATGTCTTCAAGGCTCATCCATGTTGTAGCACATGTCAGAATTTCCTTTAAAGACTGAAAAATATTCTGTTGTATGTATGTGCACATTTAGTTTATTCATCTGTCCATGGACACTCAGGTTGCCTCGACCTTTTGGCTATTGTGAATAATGCTGCTGTGAACATGGGTATACAAACACACAGTCAAGTCCCTGCTTTCAATTCTTTTGGGTATATATCCAGAAGTGGAATTACTGGATCATACAATGATTTTATTTTTAATTTTTTAAGGAACTACCATACCGTTTTCTGCAGTGGCTGCACCACTTTGCATTCCTACCAACAGTGTACATGACGGTCCAACTTGTCCACATCTTCACCAACACTTACTATTTTCTCTATTTTTAATAGAGCCATCCTGATGGGTGTGACTTGGTAGGAAAGGTCTTTTTAAGCATAATTGTGAAGAAAGAAATCATAAAGAAAAAATTGCCAAACTTAGCTATACATAGCTTCTGTAAGTTAAAAAAAAATCAGTCATCAAACCTAAAAAGTCAGAAGCAAACTAAGGAAAACATTTGCATTGTATATGACAGGATGCACCCTTGCACAGTGGGTGAGAGCACTGGCAGGTCTGGTATTGAGACCTGCTAGGTCCCACTGGCTGTGTGCTTTGAGTTTGAATTCAGTCTCCCAGCCAGTTTCCTCATGTTTAAAAGGGCGTGATCCTGCATATATCCATTGGTTGTTAGGAGGAGGAAATGAGGTAATGTATGTAAAGCACCTATCCCATACTAAGTCCTCAAAAAAGTGTTCTTATCACTGTCATTATCATCATCAGTCATTGTCACCTCTTTCAGTTTAGCAAGAACAGCCAAATATCCCAGGTGAACAAAAGTCTTGACATAATAGTAGTTCATATGGTCAATAAACAAATGAAAAAAAAGTTGTCTCAGGAATAGAGAAGATTGCAGATTAAACCAGAGTGTGATACCATTCTTACCAAAGTGTCAAAGTGTCAAAGAGACCCTTTCCACTGGGTATAAGTATGGGCAAACTCAGCTGGGGAGACAGTGACTTGACATAACTTCTGAAAGGCACTTGGAAATATGTATCAGAAGCCCTTTGATCCAGACATTGTGTCCTAAGGGAAAAATCATTTGCACACAAAGCTTTCTGAATAGGAAACTTCACCAGAATGTTACTTCATAATAGCAGGAAATTAAAAACAAATTTCTCTAAACTGGCTAAATAAACTACGATGTGTCCCCAGAATGAATACTATGGCAGCCTTTTCCAATCCTCATCTCAGATAAGAATGTGGGAAATTGCTCAGATGTATGAAACAGGGAAAAAGCAAGGAAGAAAACCACCTAAGAAGGATGAGCCCATTTGGCACATCAAAATTACCAAGATTTTCTTTTGTGACGTTTAAGAAAAGAAATGGGAAAGAAATATATAAATATATTAATAGCATTTTCCCTGGTGTTGGGATTGTGGATACTTTTAATTTTCCAATTTTCATTTTTCTAGATTGGCCAAGTTTTCAACAATTTAACATGTAATACTTTTTAAAAAGATACAAGTAAATGTTATTTTGAAGGGAAAACCCCCCACAACCCAGATAAGTACAGCGATTTGGGGCCCGTCCTGCGGGGTCAGCTTCCAGGCTGTTCTCATGGACCCAGGCTCATCCAGCTTCTTGATTTTCGTCTGCCACAGTGACCGATTAGCGCTGCTCCAGGTCCGGGCCATCCTCCAGCAGCTGGGCCTGAACAGCACCTGTGACGACAGTATCCTTGTCAAGATGGTGTGCGGGGTGGTGTCCAGGAGGGCGGCACAGATGTGTGGTGCCGGTGTGGCTGCTGTGGTGGATAAGATCCGCGAGAACAGGGGGCTGGACCATCTCAGCGTGACTGTGGGGGTGGATGGAACACTCTACAAGCTACATCCGCAGTGAGTGGGGCTTCCGGTGGGTGGGCAGAGCTTCCTGGGCTGCTGAATTCCCTTGATGGTTATGGGGCATGATCGTGGGAAATTCTGCACTGGGACACAACCTCCCAAAGGCTGTGCAGTCAGAGACTGGGGCTTGTCTGCGACTAGGTAATGAGCTGCTGTCAAGTTTAACTGGGGTCCTTGGGGAGGTAGAGAAGTGGCTTCACTTGACCAGCTCCCACATCCTTTAACTAGTGGCATGGCATTGACCCACCCTGCCCCTCCTGGGTCCCTCTTAGGTCAGGCAGAGTCCAGGTGGGGAGCAGAAAGGGAGGTGAGGGTGGGCCTGGGTTTATCCGCCAGCCTGGTTAGCTGCAGGCTGGCAGGAGGCTGCTTTTGGTAAGTGTGAGAAGGAGTGAAGGACTTGGGGAGGAGGGCCCATTGACTTTTCACTTGCTAAATCAGTTTGTAAGAGGCTTGGAAAGGAGATTTGACCCTGGGCTTTGTAGCAGGGAAGGGGTGGGGAGTGGCATCCTTTCGGTCAAGTGTCTGGCACCCATTCCAGAGAAGGATATATGGCTGCATGTGCTCGTTGACCCAGTGCTTATCCCAAAGTGTAGCTCTTAGGAATAGAGTGACCATAGTATTTACTGTCTGAACTGGTGTACTTTTGCCAGGGGAGAGAGTGCTACTAATAATTACCCTGGGTCAACCCTACTTCAAAGCAGCCTTGCCCAACTCAGTGTAGGCATTCCCTGCTTTGGGCATGGCCACGACTTGGGATGGAGTCCTCTACCTGAGGCAGCACACAGTCATGGTTTAGACCTGGGCTTTGGAGCCATACACATACATACTTAGATTTAATCCTGGCACCATCGTTCAGAAGCTGTGCTTCACTGCTTGCTTCATCTCTGCAAGTCTCACCAAGAAGGCCCCAAAACAGTGGCCCTGGAAGACCTGAGCACATGGAGTGGTAGCATTTCACAGCCACGGAGGAGAGGGGTGCTGTCTGCAAATGGTGCTGGGTGCTCACTAGTGACTAGGAAACAAGTTCCAGTCTTCTTTCTTGTTCTAAATTCATCCAAGAGCTAAATGGGGGGAAAAAAAGGAGCCATAAAACAATGAGAAGAAAGTATCTGAGTATTTTTCATAACATTTTTGATTGTGGTAAAATACATGTAACATTTACCATTGCAGCCATTTTGAAGCATATAGTTCAGTGACACTAAGTTCTTTCACATCGTTATACAGTCATCATGATCATCCATCTCCAAAATTTCTTCATCTTCCTAAACTGAAGCACCGTATTCGTTAAACACCAATGCCCCATTTGTCCCTCCCCGAGCCCCAGCAACTACCCACCTACTTTCTGTCCCTATGAACGTGACTACTCTAGGTACCTCATGTAAGTGGAATCATACAGTATTTGTCCTTTCCGTCTCTGGCTTATTTCACTTAGCATAATGTCTTCAAGGCTCATCCATGTTGTAGCACATGTCAGAATTTCCTTTAAAGACTGAAAAATATTCTGTTGTATGTATGTGCACATTTAGTTTATTCATCTGTCCATGGACACTCAGGTTGCCTCGACCTTTTGGCTATTGTGAATAATGCTGCTGTGAACATGGGTATACAAACACACAGTCAAGTCCCTGCTTTCAATTCTTTTGGGTATATATCCAGAAGTGGAATTACTGGATCATACAATGATTTTATTTTTAATTTTTTAAGGAACTACCATACCGTTTTCTGCAGTGGCTGCACCACTTTGCATTCCTACCAACAGTGTACATGACGGTCCAACTTGTCCACATCTTCACCAACACTTACTATTTTCTCTATTTTTAATAGAGCCATCCTGATGGGTGTGACTTGGTAGGAAAGGTCTTTTTAAGCATAATTGTGAAGAAAGAAATCATAAAGAAAAAATTGCCAAACTTAGCTATACATAGCTTCTGTAAGTTAAAAAAAAATCAGTCATCAAACCTAAAAAGTCAGAAGCAAACTAAGGAAAACATTTGCATTGTATATGACAGGATGCACCCTTGCACAGTGGGTGAGAGCACTGGCAGGTCTGGTATTGAGACCTGCTAGGTCCCACTGGCTGTGTGCTTTGAGTTTGAATTCAGTCTCCCAGCCAGTTTCCTCATGTTTAAAAGGGCGTGATCCTGCATATATCCATTGGTTGTTAGGAGGAGGAAATGAGGTAATGTATGTAAAGCACCTATCCCATACTAAGTCCTCAAAAAAGTGTTCTTATCACTGTCATTATCATCATCAGTCATTGTCACCTCTTTCAGTTTAGCAAGAACAGCCAAATATCCCAGGTGAACAAAAGTCTTGACATAATAGTAGTTCATATGGTCAATAAACAAATGAAAAAAAAAAGGTTGTCTCAGGAATAGAGAAGATTGCAGATTAAACCACAGTGTGATACCATTCTTACCAAAGTGTCAAAGTGTCAAAGAGACCCTTTCCACTGGGTATAAGTATGGGCAAACTCAGCTGGGGAGACAGTGACTTGACATAACTTCTGAAAGGCACTTGGAAATATGTATCAGAAGCCCTTTGATCCAGACATTGTGTCCTAAGGGAAAAATCATTTGCACACAAAGCTTTCTGAATAGGAAACTTCACCAGAATGTTACTTCATAATAGCAGGAAATTAAAAACAAATTTCTCTAAACTGGCTAAATAAACTACGATGTGTCCCCAGAATGAATACTATGGCAGCCTTTTCCAATCCTCACCTCAGATAAGAATGTGGGAAATTGCTCAGATGTATGAAACAGGGAAAAAGCAAGGAAGAAAACCACCTAAGAAGGATGAGCCCATTTGGCACATCAAAATTACCAAGATTTTCTTTTGTGACGTTTAAGAAAAGAAATGGGAAAGAAATATATAAATATATTAATAGCATTTTCCCTGGTGTTGGGATTGTGGATACTTTTAATTTTCCAATTTTCATTTTTCTAGATTGGCCAAGTTTTCAACAATTTAACATGTAATACTTTTTAAAAAGATACAAGTAAATGTTATTTTGAAGGGAAAACCCCCCACAACCCAGATAAGTACAGCGATTTGGGGCCCGTCCTGCGGGGTCAGCTTCCAGGCTGTTCTCATGGACCCAGGCTCATCCAGCTTCTTGATTTTCGTCTGCCACAGTGACCGATTAGCGCTGCTCCAGGTCCGGGCCATCCTCCAGCAGCTGGGCCTGAACAGCACCTGTGACGACAGTATCCTTGTCAAGATGGTGTGCGGGGTGGTGTCCAGGAGGGCGGCACAGATGTGTGGTGCCGGTGTGGCTGCTGTGGTGGATAAGATCCGCGAGAACAGGGGGCTGGACCATCTCAGCGTGACTGTGGGGGTGGATGGAACACTCTACAAGCTACATCCGCAGTGAGTGGGGCTTCCGGTGGGTGGGCAGAGCTTCCTGGGCTGCTGAATTCCCTTGATGGTTATGGGGCATGATCGTGGGAAATTCTGCACTGGGACACAACCTCCCAAAGGCTGTGCAGTCAGAGACTGGGGCTTGTCTGCGACTAGGTAATGAGCTGCTGTCAAGTTTAACTGGGGTCCTTGGGGAGGTAGAGAAGTGGCTTCACTTGACCAGCTCCCACATCCTTTAACTAGTGGCATGGCATTGACCCACCCTGCCCCTCCTGGGTCCCTCTTAGGTCAGGCAGAGTCCAGGTGGGGAGCAGAAAGGGAGGTGAGGGTGGGCCTGGGTTTACCCGCCAGCCTGGTTAGCTGCAGGCTGGCAGGAGGCTGCTTTTGGTAAGTGGGAGAAGGAGTGAAGGACTTGGGGAGGAGGGCCCATTGACTTTTCACTTGCTAAATCAGTTTGTAAGAGGCTTGGAAAGGAGATTTGACCCTGGGCTTTGTAGCAGGGAAGGGGTGGGGAGTGGCATCCTTTCGGTCAAGTGTCTGGCACCCATTCCAGAGAAGGATATATGGCTGCATGTGCTCGTTGACCCAGTGCTTATCCCAAAGTGTAGCTCTTAGGAATAGAGTGACCATAGTATTTACTGTCTGAACTGGTGTACTTTTGCCAGGGGAGAGAGTGCTACTAATAATTACCCTGGGTCAACCCTACTTCAAAGCAGCCTTGCCCAACTCATTGTAGGCATTCCCTGCTTTGGGCATGGCCACGACTTGGGATGGAGTCCTCTACCTGAGGCAGCACACAGTCATGGTTTAGACCTGGGCTTTGGAGCCATACACATACATACTTAGATTTAATCCTGGCACCATCGTTCAGAAGCTGTGCTTCACTGCTTGCTTCATCTCTGCAAGTCTCACCTTCCTCAGGATAACAGCCACTGGCAGGCCTGGAAATGATGTAATGAATTGTGGGCCCTGAGTAGGTGTTCCTTAGAGGTGGTCAGTATTCCCTCAGCCTGGCCCTGTCTTATTTTCAGCACAAAATGCAAGAACCTAGAGTGACCTCATTTAGAGATTATCCTTCACGGGAAGGGGTGGGGCTGGGGGAATCCTGCTTTGAGAATGGGTGTGTCTGAGTGTGCTCTTCATCCTCCGGCCCTTATAAGCTGCACAGAGCAGCTTGTTTGGGGATTCTCAGTTGTGCCTCTTTGCTGACAACCTGCTTATGAATCTGATTGGCTGTGAGTCCACTTTCCTCCCAGCCGTTCTCAGTGAGCTGCTGCTGCTTCTGAGCAGCGCCCCTGTCCTGTTTGCCCTCCTTCCTGATGAGGTCCAGCGTCTCGTCTCATCTTCCGCTACCTACCTGTCCCCGTTTTCTGTCTCTTTCAGCTTCTCCAGAATCATGTGCCAAACCGTGAAGGAACTGTCCCCAAAGTGTAAAGTGTCCTTCCTCCTGTCAGAAGATGGCAGTGGCAAGGGGGCTGCCCTCATCACGGCGGTGGGCGTGCGGCTCCGAGAAGAACCGAGCAGCTAAGAGTCCTGGACCCCAGCCTGCTGCCCTTCCAGAACTTCTTTCTTCAAGTGGCACCCCTGTTCTCCCCAGCGCATTGTGCTGGGAGACGCTGGAGCCAGAGCCCCTCACTGCTGCGGGGGAGGGGGAAACAAGCCACCTAATGGCACATAGCATAGGGTACAAAATAGAGTGTGCGCTGTTGATAATATCTCTCACCTCCGGATCGCCCTCATCTGCCCTGCCTCTCTGCATGATTTAATTTCAGCCTGGTTGTACATTCCCCATGTGTGAAGTTTAGTGGTGTTCATTTCTAATTTATGCATTTGTCCAGCAGTTATTTATTGGCCCGAGATGAAAAGTCATACCATCTGAAGGCCTTAGAGGCCTCTGCAGCCCGTCCTTGGGGACATCCTCCGTGTGAAATGTATTATCACCAGCAGACACTGCCAGGGCTCCTCCTGGGGGTGCTGTAGCTGCTTCCCCGTCCCAGCACCCACTGCTCTCTGGCGTCCCGAGGATCCAGCGGGATACGTCAGTGCCACTGAATTGTGCATCTGTGGAACTGATCATAGCTGCACTGTACCAGTTTTGCATCCTGTCTGTCCTGGGGTGAGGGTGGGGAAAGGGTGGGCAGTCCTGCGGGTAAGTGTCTCGTCTCTGGGTAAAAGGAACCCACCAACAAACAGCCTTCACTGCAATGTCCCATCGCTTTTGTGAACCATGTTGTACGACCTAGTAAACTTTGTATCAGTTCAAAGACCTGAGTGATGCTTTCAATGGCTGGGGAGCGGGGAGAACATCTGGGGGTTCCATAACAGCCAGACCCTGGAGGTTTTGTGGCCTTCCAGATTGAAGGAGCTTGAAATGAAGGCTGTGTTCTTCAGCCCCCTGCCTGTTTTAGGCATGAGGCCGTCTCTGCTCTCTCTGCAAAGTGTCACAGAGGTAGCCTCTCCCCTTGTCTCCCAGAACCTGCCGTACCGGCTCCCTGCCCTTGCTGCTGGGTCCTACCCTGGTCACAGGCTCCTGTAGCCTCCACCCCTCACCTTTAAGAAGGTATAGGGATGGAACGCTTCTCTCTGCCTATAGCCTGGCCTCTGCACTGTAGCTCTAACAGAGAAAAAGTCGTCTTGGCTTTCAGGGGCTGTCTGGGGGTAACAAGACAGTGCACCATTGGCCCTCTGCTTGCCATCCCCAAGCAGATGCTGCCCTTCACCATGCTCTCTGCTATCTCCAAGGCAACAGGTGGACTAGACTCCCAGCCCTGATACAGATGAAGCCTTATGGCAGCTCCAGTAGCAGGACTGGTGCCCCCAAATCCCACCTTAAATTAACCCCTTGTGTAGAAATTGGCCCTTATCTGACCCTTTCATCCTACAGTACATCTGCCTCGTGCTCAGCCACACCATGACTGCCATGTTGGATTCCCCCCTGCAGCCCACTGATGAATCCTGCATCAGTCCACGTGGTGGTACCCTGTGGCTGAGGTGCCATGTGAGTCTCCACCCCATGACTACAGCTCCCGTTGGGGCTGACTGCATGCTCACTTGGTTTGGTGAGACCAGAGGCCCTTAAGTTGGCATTGCCAGTGCCTATGGCACAGTGATCTTTGTGAAGAACACAGATAACATTAAATAAACTCTTCTGGATGTGCATTTCTAGTGGTACGTGGTTTTTCTGCGGGCACTGGGGTGTGGGGTGTGAGTCAGCAAGCAGGGAGAGGCTGAGATGAACTGGGCCAGACCTGGAGCTTTCTTGGAGTTGGTGTCCTCTGCCTGCCTCCACCTCGCTGTAGAACTGAGGTTGAGAGCTGTGTGCTGACTTGCAGAAGGCATTCATGTAAAGTGGCTGCCATGGTAGTAATAAAGATCATGGCTGCTATTTATTAAGCACTTAATCTGTTTTTTTGGCCTGCTAATTTATAGGCATTATTCCATCATACAGCACTCCTCTGAGGTACTTTGGCCTTTGGGAGAGGAAGAGGCTAAGGGTCTGAGTGACTTGTATGAGGCAACACAGCTGAGGCTTCTTTTGAGTCAACCACCATCTACACTGAACCAAATCTGAGTTCCTAGATGCTGAGGCATAGAAGCCATGGATTGACTTACAGGTGATGGGCTTTGCAAAGTGAGACCGTCCTGTGTCTTCAGCCAGCTAGTGAATCAGTGTCTTGGTTCGGTGTTGCCCACAGGTGTGTGTATTTACCCAACATTTATAAAAATGTGAGCCAAATTTTACAAGTCTGCAAATCTCACAAATTTGGATTCCCAGCTTCTCTTGAAAGATTTAGAAGATCTGGCAGCAATGGGCTCCCATTACTATGTGGCAACATTTGCCCAGAGCTCATCAGCTGTTGTCCCCTTTGGATGCCTATGCCCTCCAGTTTGCCACAGTCTCTACTATTCCCTATTACCCCAACAGTGGAAATCAGTTGCCTTATATCACATTTGCAGTTTTTCTCTTACACTGGATCCAATTTACTCATTTTGTACACTCCAGGAAGGAATTTGAGCTTGCAATTCTTGGATTACATAAGTGTTGGCTCGCACTGTCTTCTCTGACTCTTCTTGGACCCCCTGAAGCATTGTCTGAGAGGGGTGCCTGGGTCATTTAGAGTCTGCTTCCACTGTAGAGTTCCTGGCTCATCTTGTTTCCCATTGATGTACTGAAGGGTGAGGTGTGGGCCAAACTTTCAGATCTGTTCTCAACTGGCTACTTCTCGAAGGGAGCTATGTCTTGCTCTGCAGCCAAGCACAAGGATTCAGGGTTCAGTAGGCACCTCAGCTTGGGGAGCCCCAGCCTGCCCACCAGCAGCACCGCACCCCCAGCCATGAACAAAGTCTTTAGTGTGACAGCTGTTGACCTTCATGGGGAGGTTGGATTGTGCGTTAGCTCAGTGTTACCCTCCTCAGTTGGTGTGACGCATGGGCAACAATGGAAAGCCAGAATCCAGAGTGAAACCTCGGGGACAGAGGGTCACCTTGAGCCAGCAGGAGAGGGGGACAGTTACAGGAACTGCTGTCTGGCTGTCCTAACCTTCAGGAGCCAATCTCCCCTCTAAGAGGGGAGCCAATCACCCCTAAGAGTCTACCATTGCTCAGGATCTCTGAAGAGACACATTCTTTGGTGGATTCATTTTTTTTGGAAACAGCCAGAAGTAAGTGAGCTAAATCTAGTGATTGAAGCGGGTGATTAAATTGAATTAGACCATTTGTTACAACAAATAAAAAGAAACCAAGTACAGTTTTAAGACAACAGATTTTCCTGTTTTACTTGTTAGTTGGCTTCTAAAGAAGTATTCAAAGAGGAATAAAAAAATGTTGGATTTGGCAATGTTGGGCAGAATGAGGATGCTCTCCCAACAGGACTGCTTTGAAAGAAAATACACGGAACTACTACATTTTGGTGGCACATTTGCTTAAAAAATAAGCAGCTCTCCCCATGGTAGCACTGAGGGTCCACTTATAAACTAGAGATAAGAAGAAACAGAATGAGTGGAGGAAAGGTGGCTGGCAGAAAGAATGCTGGCCTGCCAGAGAGGAGCAGAAATGAATGGGACCCTGGGTGACCGCAGAGAGGGAGAAAGAACACTTGGTGAACATTTCCTGAATGAAGAATTCTGCTGGCATCACGGGCCCTGTGTTTCAGCTGGTATCATCAAATACTGAATGATTCAGAAGTCATTTCAGGAGCTTAAAGAGCCCTGGAGTGTTGTTCAGAGCCCCAGGAGCTCTGTTGTTGCATAGCAAGAGAGTGACCAATGCCCAGACACGGAGGGCTGGGGGCCCCTCCCCGCGGTGACAGTCCCTGTCTCCAAGTCCTAAAGCAGCATACAGGAGAAATGTGTGGGGGTAAGATTACAGGCCTTGGAGATGATACCTGGCTCCATTACTTGCTGTATGAATTCAGGAGAGTCTCCCAAGACTGTTTCCTCATCTGCAAAACGGAGGTAACACCTTCCTCTATTATCTACTTACCTCTGAGGAGACAATGGAGGGTTCTAGCACCCATTAAAAAAAAAAAAAAAACCCCAAACAAACTCAGTTCTCTCAGCTCCTTCTGGCCTACCCAGGTGGGTGGGATGTCTGAGCAATGAAGACCCTAACAGTGTTAGAAGTGTCCTGGACATGTGAGCAGGGTGGTGATAAAAGGCTTGAACAAAGAGGCCCAGATTAAGACCAGCCTTAACTATATCACTGTCTTGTTGAGGCCAGGAATCAACGTCCACCTCTCACCTGCTCTTACCTGCTGTACCTTCAGGGTTTCCTGAGGCTCAACAGCCTGCTCTGTCAGCAGGACTCCTGGATACTGGGGTTCCTGCCTGGCTCACCACCCACCCCTCCAAGTGCCCCAGAGCAAAGGCCAGCTCCACGCTGGGGCTCTACTTCCACAGCAGTACAAGGGCTTCAAGACCCAGACCATGTCTGTGGGAAGAGTAAGATCTTGGCCCCTTCCCTGCTGGCCTCTCAACCAAGGTCACTTCCCAGCTGCCCAGAAAGTCCCTCAAGGTCAGGAAATGCAGGGAGTTCTTCACAAGGGAGCAGCCTGCTTCCCCTCTTGTCTTGGCTCCAGGCCCCCAGTTGAGTGCTTTATATTGCTGGGGTCCCGGCTGTTCACCCCACCCAAGAAAAATCCTTTGTTCTTCCTGGTTGTAGGAAGCTCTAAAAAAATGTCAGGACAGAGTCAGTCCCTCTCTCCTTTACTGGGCTTCTTTCTTCCCCCCCCTCTCTCTCTCTCTTCTCTCTCTGCTATCCTGCCTCTCTCTGTCTCTCAGTTGAAACACCTCACCTAAAATGACACCTAGCTCCTATGGCTTTCTATATCCTTTCTATCCCTTATTTTTCTTCATTGCCCTTACTGAAAACTATTTGATGTACATATTTATTAACTGTTTATCTGCCATATTCCTCACTAGAATGTAACTGCATGAGAGCAGTGATGTTGTCTATGTTGTTTACTTTTATAACCCCAATAACTAGGGAACATGATATGAGGTTAATAAATATTTGTGAATGAAATAAATGGATGAATTTAAAGTCTTTCATGTTAGGTATTTTATAGCTCTTACTTATTGGAGCCATACCTCTGAAATACCAAGAAATGATGCCAGACTTAAATGGTCAGTGATAAAATACTGGGACAAATCAATTTATATTTACACCGAAAGGACAGTATATATTTAATGGAGGTTGGCTGATAGGGGAGGGCACAGTTGGGCGTATTTGTGGTATTGTTCCAGGTGGGCTCCTCTGTGAGAAAGTTCTGGAAATGAGGCCGGAAGTACCTCATTCTTTGCCCACTAACTGAATGTTCTCAAGAGGAAGGTAATGCTGGCTGAATTCTATTTTAATCTATCAGGAAACTATCTCTGGCTAAAGGAACAGAGGTTCTAGTTAGGATTAACCCTAACTTGTATATACTCTAGCAAGAGACTAT